CCTGCTGAGGGTCCCTCCTTTCTTCACCCCCTCCAGCTACGCTACTAGCACCCATGTGGCCATCGCCGTTTCTTCCATTCACCAAAATTACTCAGGCCCTAGCACAGGTAGGCAGTACAAGAGGCTTGTAAACCTACTGAGGAACAAAATGAAGGAGAGCCTAAGAAAAAGTTGGACTGATTTATGAAGTAGCTGTAGCAGAACTTAAACAGGGAGCCGAGGGAACCTTCTAGGTACAGCAGTCTACAGGTTTGGAAACTAAACTCTTTAGAGTAGTTTAATGATTAAAAAAAACAATGCCTTCTACAGTGAAAGATCCATTTTCCAAGCCGTGTGTTCATGTGATTTGAAAAAAAGAAAAGCAGTACGAACTGCTGCGAACATCTCACAGTTATTAGTATCTCACAGGAATTCATATCGATGGCCAAATAGCGTCATGATAGTTTCTTTAATATGGCAACCTTCTGCACAGCATTGAAGAAACAGAATGGGACGTTTTCCCTTTTTTCGAAGAGTGAAAAGACAGGAAAATGAGAACTGTGATTTTAAATAGCAGGGAGAGTAGTTACTGCAATCAGATGAAAAACAAAGTCTCCTTTCCTCTACTAATTCCCATTGAAAAATGTGCTGGCTTTATGCTACTGGTAGAAGCTACATCTCTTACACCTACTGAAAAGACTCCTGATAAAAGGAAAGAATTTTGTATTAAGCAAAAATACCTGACATAGAGCTTTTTGTACAAGTCTATGTTCTCAGCACTTGTATTCAGCTTCAAAAAGCTTTTAAAGCCAACTCCAGTTGCTATTCCTTGACTATAGTAATATGTATCTCTGTAAAACAGAAAAAGTCCATTAAGAAACCCAACTGTTTCAGTTTTCAAACAGCTAATAACAAACTGCACCAAGCTAGAGCTTCTGACATGAATACCACTATAAAACTTTTTTTATTATTTTTTGCACTAAACACAGTACAGTGCCAGAGGCTCAGATTCTTTTAACAATAATTTATAATATTTATTAATAATTATTTTTAATATCTTTTAGTAATCTTTTAATAACAATTTTTCAAGTTCAGTTTCCCATCAAACAACCAGATTAAAATAATATTTTCATCCAATATGAATAGTAGGAATTTCCAGCCCCGTGGAATGGGGCATGATGAAGAGATGCTTCTGCTGCTACATTTACTTAGGACAGTGACAGACAGTAAGTATTGCCATTCTGCAACACCTTTTAGCTGAGGACTGGCTCTGCGAGGACTTGCTGCTGGGCCATCTGACTGACTTGGGACTACTTTGGGCATTGCTAGTTCAGATATCTTACTACAGAGTGTCCCTGTGCAGCACGGGCAAACACAAGTTCTGCCTAGACAAAAAAATTCACCCTATTACTTCGTGCATACCACAGGACAGCATTTGCCAACCTTATCAACTTAAAGTATCAGCATAAAGTATCTCAGCTACAGAAAAATTGAGGTTATAGAGTTGTGTGGATCCAATCTGGCTAGCACACCCGTTGCAAATGTTTGTGGTGATCTTTCACATTTGTTACTCATCTCCTCAGAAGGTCAAGGCTTTCTATGTAACACTAACAATGACAGATTAAAAGTTAGATTGGGCGTTACTGAGCAACTATAAAGAATCAGAACTAACTCAAGTGAGTTCTTAAAGACCCCTGTGAGTGAATGTATTAGACACAAGTGATCCAAATACACCATAAATGCTGCATCCATGCCAGACGCTGTGATATGTTGAAGAATTGTTACAACACCTACCGCTGCTAAGATCAGACCCATCTGTGATCATGACTGCTAGACTGGAAACTATTTTTTTTTTTAGATGCACATTCTTAGGAAACCCTACTAGGGAAATTTTAACCTTTCCATGTCTTTGCGAAGTTGAGCAAGGTTATACTTACGCACTGTAGCCCATGTCTTGACATGCTATCTTTCCATAATCGTCATTCCAGTCATCCTGACAAACAGGATACCAGGACTCGCTGACAGGTGAATAAACCTCCAGGATAAAATTTGGTCCAGAAAGTCTAACTACCATGAAAGGAAAAAGACCTAAGAACAACACAAACTCTACATTACTAGTCTTTCTCTACTTAAAGTTATTGTTACCCATGATATTTGTTAGCCATAATATTTTTTTGTAAGTATGAATGAACTGGGGTTAATTTAACGCTGCCCTCTATACAAATTTTAGGTAAATATCTGGTAGACAGAAATACCACGATTATTTAATTCTTTGGTGTAAGGCAATTTAAAACAATTACCAGTTTAAAATGCAAATGTACAATATCGTGTTCATCTTTTCATCTCAGCTCTTAAACCCTGAAGATTCTTTCATATTCTACCACTGAAGACTGCAATATCTGATTTTTATTTATCTTTTCTCTACATATACTATGTATTTCTTAATATACCATCTTTTAAACATACATAAGTTAGAATATATTTATATATACCATATTAGTACACTATACCTTAACATACCATATTTCTTCATATAAGTTCTTGTAGAGCAAGAATGTGACATGACGCAATTAGCTTTGCCCTTCCAAACTGCATTATGCATTCATTTGCAGAAGAATTTAATATAAAATAGTTCAAGCAAAAGAAAAGATGGAACAAGCTTCTACAAAAATGCATTCTTCAACTAAGCGGAGAGAAACGGCTTTAGTGCTTAAGTCCTTAAATGCTAACACTGCATGAGGCACGTGCAGAAAAAAAGTTCAAAAACAGAGAATAGGACACAGCAAGAGCTTTCCAGAGTGGCACAGGCACAACAGAAGTACTAGAAACATGGTGTGTCACAGCTTTGGAAAGGACAAATTAACGACATTTACACCTTATACTCTGAGCTGTGCACTAAAGCTTCCTTTGCCATCTTTTCAGCTGAAAATACTGATCAGATTAGGCTGCCTTCTTACACAGAGGAGTTACGAAGTGATTGACAGGAAGAACTGGGAGATCAAGGAAAGAGGAATGGTAAGGTATGGAAAAAGACGAGCCAGGTCACTGAACACAGCCGGATTAGTATTACCACCTGAAGTCCTACTAAGAAGTCAACAACAGTGACTGCTATTCAAGAGCCTACGTTACATTCAGATCTGCACGTACTAGGCTCAATTTAAAAGATAATATTTTTTAAATTGATTCTAAGTTAGGCCAGCCTAAACCCTCAGGTTAGTCATTTTGTTTCAGCTGTGCAACACGATCGGAAACATACTGAAGACCAAGACACAGGATTTGAAGCACAGGCTAAACCACTTTAGGGATACAGCTTAACCTAAACTGGCCCCATTTTAACTTAGGCAAGCTTTAGACATGGGAAGTTGCTCAAAACCGCTTGCAGTTAGCTGAAGTTCTCCCCGCTGCAGCCTGCAGACACTCACCACAGCGGTTTTCGTCTTCGCCGTTAGGGCAGTGGCTCACCCCGTCACACCACTGGGAGGGCAGCACACACGTTCCCGAAGAGCCGCACTCTATTAAGGAGCCAAGACAGCGATTCTCTACTGCAAGGGAAGAGCAATACCCAGCTGTTAGACTGCGCGTCAACTTAACCTCAAGTGACTATTGCCAGCTCACATCTTCAGGAGTATGCCAGTTTGACAGAGCAAAACATTAGCAAAAGCTCTTAAACAAATTCAGAGACGGGAGGAGAACCTAGCCTGACACAACAGATTTATTGCTCTGTCCTATACGCTGCTTGCCAGATTAAGTCATTGATGCAGCTAATTGGATTTTGTCCATTGCCTCCCTTGAATTAAGCAAGCACCATCAAGTTGGTTAAGGAGTCAACTTTACACTGGCAAAGCTTATAAGCAGAAGGAGGAAAGTCATTAACTCCAAATACAACCTGCCACTTTTGGTGCAATTTAAAATAAGATTAGTCTACCCAGTATAATTCAAAGTGATTGAAAAAGGCAAACAAACAAACCCTAAGAACACAAAAGCAAGAAGTTTCATCCTTATATTTTTAAATTAACTCCCTTCTCTCTTACTCTCCCCTTTCCTCTACTACAATAGAAAAAAGAGAGTTTCCTTAAAAAATAATTTGCTATGTTTTTATCTCCTCTGAAAAGTGATTTTCACTGAAAGCGAAATTAAAACAGCACAAGACAAACTTCACCTAAGCTGAACAGGATTGCTCTAGCCCAATTTCAGAGCTCAGTCACTCCAGATGGGGATGACTTCCAAGGTTAACGTATCATCTGTGTTCCCACCCAGCGTGGTTGGGCTCACGCAACTTTAACACATTTTCAAAAGCAAAAGTCTCATAGAAAAAAATAAGTGTACAGGAATTACTTCCTCAGCTGCCAGAAAGAAAATATATTCTGACTATTTGTACTCTTACAGTTAAGGTATTCAAATTTATTTCAATCTCCCTCCTTAACTTGAAGTTAAGTGAAGTTAGAATTTAGACATAAGTTTCAGAGATAATACACAGCAGTGATTTCCCTAATGAAATTCACCGTAGAATGTGTTATCCAAGCAAGGTCACACACCAGCTTTCCCTCCATGCAAAGACCCTTGCAAGAGGTCAAATCACTCTTTAGTAAATCCACTGCACTGAATTGGTGTAGCTGTTCTGCAGCAGCTTTTGCCAGATAGATTGCAGCTTTCCAGAAAAGTCAGCTAAACAAGCCGCTTCAGAAGAGTGAAAAAACTGATGATATCTCTTGATGCCAAAAACATATCTGTTTGACAGAGGAAGGAAAGCAATAGCAGCACTGTTTACTCGAAATAACTGAGTCATTATATAGCGACATAAGTTGATCTCTTAAGAGCTAGGCAGCCAGGACTTTCCTGTCCTTAATTCAGCATCAAATGGAAGACAAAAACGTGTATTTCTGAGCTTACAAGTTGAATACATCTTTGCTTTGTTTAATAAACATTTTGTTAAAACAAACAAAAAATTCTTACCAAAATACCAAATGAAGAAAGCAGCAATTATACAACATATGACTATTAAAACGGATGAGATTATGATTATGACTTTCTTTATACCTGAAATGAAAGCAAGGATAAAAAGACATATTAGGTTCCCAAATAAGGTCATTTCTAGCATGGCCACTAGAACTATATTTCCTTGAAATTAAAATTTTTGCCAGTCAGACTTTTCTCCATTCCATCACCATTCCTCCAAATCACACAGGTCCTATCCAGTTACACTGGCATCCCAGCCGGATACTATTTTTTCATCCATAGAGAGGTGGCCAGCCCTTGTGGACTCTCTCATTTGTAAGCTCACTCTAGAAGGCATCAAGCCTAAAACTGGAAGAAATCCGGACAATCTTACTTGATGTACAGGTTCTCCTGGACGAATGTGCCACTGGCGTACTCGACTGATAGGTAGCAACTCTTGGGACATAGCTTGGCACTGACGGAGCTTTTGTAGAGAGGTACTGTGGATATGCATTAGCACCTACTGGTTGCCTGGCAGAGGAGAAGTTTTCTGGCTGAAAGCCATGATTTTCATAGTATGGTGGTAGCCTCTAAATGATAACATTTGGGAAGGAAACAGGAGAAGACAAAAAAAAAAAAACCAGACTGCAATTAGAAAAAAATAAGTTTAATATGTTATTTACATACAGAACTATACTATAATTTTGCTAATGCAGAAATTCACCATACATACCTATTAGCGGCTCACATTTACATGGGGAAAGATTTACCGTTCATTAGCCTAATATCTCACCCTTTAAATACTAAAAATAACATATAGTGCAGCTGGAACAAATATTGAGATCAGTAATGCAACCTAAAAAGGATTCTTGAACCCAGTCCACCATTTCATCACAGCATCTGACAGGGTGGAAATGAGCTGCAAGGACAGTTTAAGGCGGTACTGTCACCAAAAGAAATGCTGACAAACAACAGCGTTGGTGTATCCAGTGGTCCCTGTCTATGAAAAATGCTTACTGACTCATTTTGTCCAATGGCAGGACCAGCTATACCCAAGCCATGTCTGAAACACATTGGCCCATAAGAGGTTGTGGAATATTTACCTGGTAAGACCTTTTAGGAAGTAATTAGAAGCCATTCCAATCTATCCTTCAAATACAAGTTCTAAAAGTATAAATCTCTCACAGTAGTAACTGAGCATTTGAAACAGTAGCTATTTCAAGCCTCTTCCACCTCTCTCACAGCGCACCTTTCCCGTTTTGCAGAGAAGAAAATAGAAGAAATACTTATAGCCACATTTAAAAAGGTGTACTAACCAGTACATCACTTAATAGGCCCACTTAAAAAATAAGGAATGTTTTGTTTACTTACTACAGTAGAGGTCATCTTTCCTTTGTCAGCAATGCTGAATCAATTCAAGTGTTCGGAAATAAAGTGTCAACCTATAAACAAACAGAAAACGATCACAAATCGAAAGCTTTGTCCAGCTTTGTTGTCAGTTTTCCTTCGGAAAAATGCCAAATCTGGGGGAAAATACCAGAGGTATTTCAAGAGAGGGCATAATTTAGGATATAGCATGAAATCAGATCTTAATAGCCTCTCAGTGCAACCTTGACTATTACACACTGGCAACTATTCATTAACACGAACGCCGCACACACTGAGAAGATTGAGTTAGTGCTCACTCACTGACAGCATTAGAGTTAAAGAAAGAATACCCTAGCAACAACCCATACAGTATCAGTACCAAGTTCAGTTCTTCCCTTCTCTCTCAGCACTTACTCATATATCATTCTGAAGTTTATGACACAGACACGAGAACATGAACAAAGCACCAGGAAATACAAATTCAGCTAACTCATTTAATAGTGCTACAGCAAGCAGCCCCACAGGTCACATTATTTTCACTCTCCTGCATTGTAAGAAGCTCTCCTCTTGGTCAAATTTTAGCTAGTACACCAAAAACAGAGAAAGAGGCATCTCAGGGAGAAAATATGCCATATCAACACAAAGTTTTTAAAATAGAGTAAAATAGTTGCATCCCACATTTAAAACGTATCAGTTTATTTAAAAGTCAGAAGAGGAAAAATAAATAAATAAAAACCACAGATTAGAACAGATACCAGACATTCAAAGTGTCTGCCACTACAGTTCTAACATAGGCAGTTATAGCCCCTCTCCAATCAATCATTTTAATAATTTAATATGCAGACCTCTCATAATACTATCCTACATTAAAAAAGCATAGGAATTGTCTCAGTCATCCTCTGAGAAATACCGTTCTCCTGCCTCCAGAGCTGTACCTTGTGTACAGGCACACCATCATGAATGCTGTTGAGAGCCACTATTGTAAAGAGCAGTTGAGTTAAGACACAGCATAATTCAGCCTGAAGTATAACATTATGTTTCAGAGCCTGTACTGAGGTGTCTTCTCACCCTAAACTGCGCTGCAAATGTCTCTGAAGCCGATTTCAACAGCATCCAGAGTATGCCAATACTTGATCACAATTCAGGAAGGCCGATTCCGGTACACGCCCATTAAAGACAGCAAAAAAATTTAATATATGCTGTTGAACTCTTATTTACACACCAGACTGGGGAAAATAAGCTTTACTACTGCTTACAGTAAGTGCATCAAGATTGGTGACTAAGTCTTCAGAACTTCTGGTTTATGTCGCATCCATTCTTACCCAGCTCTTCAGAGCAGTGCTGGGAAATGCAGTTCTGCCCAGACCTAGAGGCCAAGTAACACTTTAAAGGAAGATACTCTTGTTCCTTGTCTTCTGAAAAGTAAACAAAAAACAGTCATATGAAAGCTTAGGGATAACAAACTAAAGACTACTAGGGATAGCAAACTGAAGACTACTAGGTATTTCTGAGGTGAGTCAACAGGTACACTATAACCAAAAAATACCAAAACATTTTCTACAACATCACAATTTGAAGTGCTTTGCAGGTTGGCAGACTTCCTCATCCTTTTTTTTTTTTTTTCCCAATTAAATGAGAAAAAAATTCTCTTTGTTGATTAACTGGCTTTAAAATCATTACTACCAACGCAGTTCTTGTTAATTTATTTCCAATCCGATTGCTGAGTAATAAAAGTTTTTTCACCATCAAGCCATAAAATACAGGAAAGACACAGGTATATATGTATTTCCATGGAGATATTCCAAGGCTAGTACAAAGAGATTAAACGAAAAACACGAGAGTCCCCCGTAGATTGCACTCTTAAAAGTTAGGCAAAAACAATGGATAGCATTCAAAAATGATATAATCTAGTTTTTTAACATGCATCACTGATACACCTCAAAATGTTTTACACATAAATCAAAGGTAGTGCAACAAATTTACAGATGAGGAAACCGGATCACGGAGAAACAAGCTGACCTGAGAAACAAGCCCTGTCCCATCAGCTGTAGAGCTAGAAGTGACCGGTCTCTCTTACCTCAGTCCAATACTTTAGCCTCTAGATTCACCTCATACTTCAGATAGATTTAAATAAACCCCCACATAAAAGTATCATAAACCCACCCTGGTATAGAAGAGGTTAGTGGGAACACAGAATTATCCTTGTTTCCCATCGCCAGTCATTGCCCCAGATATCTCGCAAGTATTTGGCACATAAGGGGGCACATCCGAAGAAGCGTTAAGTGTCCTTTAAAGTGAGCTGGGGCAGTCAGAGCGAACAGCGAGCCCTAGGCTAGGAAACGGATGGAGCTCACCCCTGCAAGAGACAGGGCCCGTGGAGCTTGAACCTTGCAGGGCAGCTTGCTAAGACTTCACATTGCCTGCTCACGTCTTAGCTTTGAAAAAAAATACACCCAGGTGAGGAAAAGACCTGACATTTAGAAGCGGTCAGCCCCTAAATTTCCCTTTACTCCAGTATGGAACAGAGCAAGTGTTTGGACTTCCAGAAATACAGAATTCCTAAAAGTCAAGTCTGCTTTTGTTTCAGAACTCTGAAAATAAAGAAATAATGCTACTGTCTCTAAAGACAGTCAAAAATAGTGGGGTATAAAATGTATAGCCATTACTGACAGTATATTGACAAATATAGTGAAATACACTGCCTTCCAGCAGGCACCAACTTGAAATATCTTAGCTTCTTCTCATCTATGCCTTGGGAGTGTGGAAACTAAAGTTCTATCATGTCTTTATTTAATGAAGACTTCTTAAGACGTTAGTCCTCCAAAGGCTGGTCCCCCTCCTAACTCCAGGAGGGGCCGTTATCTCCACCGAGCATTGAGCTGTGCTGCTCAAATATAAGCGGTCCTCTCTGCCACCACATCCTCCTAATCTCCTCACCTTGTGACTGTTGGATGAAGGTAAGCCTCTGCCTATGCCTCCCGTGGGTCATTTATAGTGTGCATCCTTCACTAGCTGAGAGTTAACACCCCCAAAGGACACAGGAAAGGACAAAAGGCAAAGAAATCCTAAAGGTTTAACCCCAGTTTTGTTAACCACTGCTGCCTGACTTGAGATAGATTGCTTTTGCCTTAGTTTCTGCACGCAAGAAATAATAATGATATTCCTTATCACACAGCATGCTCTTAACTGTTAGTCAACAGCAGTACCATGCTTGTAGCATTCTACTCAAGTACTCCTAGCTATATTTGTTTCCACGTAAGTCCACAGGATGGAAAAATTACCTTCAGATACTCTAATGTAACACTGCTATTTTGCTTGGTGAGTGAAGCCAGAGATAGACTGACAACAGTATACTTCTTGTACTTTTGTATTACTTCAATACATATTTTGTGTCATTTGCGGAAATAAAAACTTTATTAGCTGTTTGCTAAGCTGTATGATAACTATCAACAATGAAAAAAAACCCACAGACTAGATCTTAATAGTTATACCTACGTAAAAGCAATCACATGAAAACAAGAAAGAAAGGAGAGGGAAGAACAGTTAAAAGCCGAATGCATTGAGATAAGTTCAGCTTCTAAAAGGAAGAATAAAAGCCTGTAAAACAATCTACATGAGCAGTGGCTAACATTTGCCTCATACAAAGTCATATCCAAGAAATTATCAGTTCCCATTTTCCAGATAAAGAAATTAAGAGACTCTGAAAACTCATTAAAATAGTAAAGGAACAGCTCTAGTGCAAAGCTTGATCTATAAAAAGAGCAACCCAAAGCTTTAGCTTTTGTTGATGCTATGGCTGTTGATGCTAAAGGAGGCATGCTTTTATTTCTTATTCCCACCAATTTTATATCTTTCTAGAATCCTCAGCAGTGTGACCTTAAACACAACCGCTACAGGAATTTTACCATGAAAGAAATGGGGGAAGAGTTAAAAAAAAAAAAAAAAAAAATTGGAGAGAGAAAAAATGAACAGAGAGATGATTCCAGGTTCACTCACATGATCTTTCTTTCCACACACTGGGCAATTCTTACCTCTCTTCTTCCTGGAGAAAATAAAAGCAATGCATTCAAGACTCCTATTTAACAAGCAGCACCCAAAAAAAAAAATCACAACTTACAAACGAAGTATAGAAAAGTTTAAAAAAAAAAAACTATTAGGTATTAAAGAGAAAAGGAGATGAGAATGTTCATCTAGTTTCATTAACAACGTTTCCTTGATACTACTTCAAGAAGAGGTACTGGATATTTTTATTGAGGATTAAAGAAATGAGAATGCTGTTTACTCCACAGGCTAAAGTTCACCCTGGGGAAAGAGCCAAAACTGAATCTACAAGCAACTGAAAGTTTTACTAAAGTCATCAAAATTGCATTCTTCTGGTACCCTGTTTTTTCAGCTAACCTTCTCAATAGGCATAAGCTCTACTTAGGGTGCCCATATAGCAGCATTAAGCATCTGGCAGAGAGCTTTAAGAGACTATGCAAATATTTATATGAAAGCCAGGTTCCTGCAAATACAGCCTCAGCATTCCTAGATTTCCCAAGAAATTGTTTGGGAACTCTTATAGATTAACTCCTAAGATATCATTAAACTGTAGAACTACTTATCAACAGGTGTTAAAAAACAGTGCCTCTTGATAAGTGCTACCAACAATTCAAATAAAGTCCACAACACAGCAGTATGCCCAAGGCCAGCAAACCAAGATTATACTAATACTACTTCCACAGGCACAAAAAAAAAGAAAAAGTTGCTATAGGAGTAGCAGTCCCATTATAAAAGTTAAAGGACATCGTATTCATACTATGAGTGATTGTGTATTTGTCTTGCCTAAAAACAAATGACATCATGAAACACTGTCTTTCACAAGGACATCACATGATTTTATTTCAAAAAAAAAAAAATTACATCGCATGGCTAAGGAGGCTGAAGGATATATTTGCCAAGCAATAGCTGCAGGGGCAACTGCTGCTCACAATATCCACCACCTTGGGCACTGATCACTTCTTTGCTAGAGGATGCAGAAACAGCCAGCCCAGCATTTGGATGCTGGCTTTCCCTATATTACATTCCCACCCCTGCCCATCTCTCTGCGGCAGCAGCAAATGGCTTCATCCTGCTGGTAGTAAAATTCAAGCCTCCCTACAGGACTGAGAATCTTTGGCTGGCTCTGGGGAAAAAAAAAAAAAAAACTCTCCAGGATACTCGTCTACTATATTTAAGTTGCAAATAAATGAGCTTACAGACATGGTTATCACTTACTAGTAAGTATGCACTCAGCAGAAAAAGAAGTCAAGACTAGAAATGTAACAAAGTAGACTGATTCAGATATTTATCTAGGTCAGCTGTTTCCTGCCTCTGAGCTCAGGCTCCTGAGGAGCTGTAAACCACTTCTAAGGGGTCTACAGCAGACAAGAAAGAAAAGCAAGCCTCCTGGCAGCAGGCTTAAATTTCCTCCAAGGGGAAGTCCATGCTGCCAGAGAGGGGCTCAGACAGCCACTCATCGAAAAGGCATCAGAACAACGGGTGTGGTGGCACAGCCGTGGCTTAGCCACTGTCTCCACACTGCAATTGCTGGTGTGGACTGACCCTTGACCAACACGGGTTGTGTGTTCGGGAGCAAGAGCCTACACCTCTAGGAGTGGCATCTCCAAAGGAAGTATTTTAAATCAGCATCCTTTTCAATGTAGTCTTAGACCACTTTTTCGACTTATTTCCATTTCCCGGGCTAGGGTGTCATAATACATTTGCCCTAGATTGACTTTCCTATGTACCAGCGTAACTTCTAAAGGTTTAAAAATAAAGCAAAAAATGGAAAAAGTTAAGTCCTACTTTGTCATCGACCTTTACCCTGGTCCAGACGTCATTCCGTATTACCTTTGAGTTGACATACCAAGGTAACAGCCGCGACTGCAACCGTTTCACTGATCTTTGCCACGCACAACACCCATCTCTTCCCCCACCTACCTGTGCCTCAACCGACGCAAATCAGCCTTCACAGGCCAGGCTGCTTCCTTCGGTGCCTTCTAAAGTGCTAAGGGCACTAACATAACTTTACTCAGGGCAAACAAACCGGGACACTTAGGACAAAGGAACCACGGAAGACTGGTGTCTCCTCTCTCAAACTCACTGGCACCCTCCCCCCAAAAGCTGAGGTGAAATTTCAGGTCCAGGTAGGCTATGACCACGGGTAAAGCCACCGGGGGGCATTGGTTGCGACAAAGTTGTGTCCTAGGAGCTTTGATACGGTGCCCGTGAGAAGGAGGTGCCCGTCTGTCAGTGAAGTTACTCGTCTGAAGTTACTTGACCAGATGTGACACCCTCACCCCCCAAAATTAGCACTTCTGCAGGAATCTACGTAACGGCGGTGACACTGATACATAACCAAGAGGGTCCAGAGCCGGATTCTCCCCTAGCTTACTCTCCGCTACTCGCTACGCGACCTTGAACCAGGTGTCTAATCTCGCTACGGCTTTGTTCCCCTTGGCCACGAGGGCGAGAGAAGGACGCCGCTCGCCTCAGCCTGCGCCAGGTGCGGCTGCTTGAGCGGGCGCGCACACCTTCACCCGGTACCTGCGAGCATCGCATGAGCCCGTTCCCACCATCCGCTCCCCTCTCCCAGCCTACCGCAGCCCCCGGCCTCGCCTTCCCTACCGCAGCGGCCCGTCCTGCGCTTACCATTAGATAAGCAGGAAAACCGGAGGGGGGAAGGGAAACAGCAACACCACGAAAAAACAGATTTTCTC